CCGGTACACAGAGGCATCACGAGGGAGAAAGAGCAGTCATTCCAGAGCAGAGCCGCTATCCTATCGTGCCCACCGTCACCGCAAGCGTAAGCAATGCGAGTGCCCGCACGCCTCGTCTCAGAACACATGATGGCGCCACAGAATCAGGCACGATAGTGAGATGTTCTTTGCCGACCCTTAATTGACTTACTGATACGTTCACTCCCTAATTCAACAGTTGTTTATTGTGTCTCTGCTATGGGCGAAATGCTCGGGATCAAGAGGTAAGGTCCCTGCCAACGGGACATACAATTCACTGATATAGACGAAATCATCATGTGACCCAGCAGTTCCAAACTAGGCGCAGTGCAAGCTCACCCAGTCAGCATCTAAGCCGGGATTCGGGCCCAAAGGGCCAGTTAGAAAGTGCCCGGGGCAGGGCTATTGCCCACCTCTGATTGGCTGGAGTGCCCGGCCTCGGCCAATCGGATACCGTCACGGCTCGAAACTTGAAAGAGGTCCCAAGAAAGCCTGCCCCTCACTCCGCCCTTGGTTTTGGGTTTTGTCGCCGAGAGTTTTCTGGAATTCGGTTGCCCATATTTGCCACTTATTAAGCCATATGGTCTTGGAAAGTCAACTTCTCTGAACGTCAATTTCTTTATTTGTAAAATGGAGAAAACAGGATTGTTGTGAGAATTCAAGTAAATCATGTAGGATGCATTTTTAAAATGTTAGCTCTTGTTGTCATCTGCCCAGTTTAACTGAATACGACTCAGGGTTGGCTGTCCAGTTCGCAGCTTCATGAGAACGTGCCCTTCTTGTTGGTCTCGGATCTGAAGAGGAATGGGATTCTCAGTGGCTACCAGCAGGATGCTGTCCTTTAGGGATAAAAACCTCAGCTGACCAGGGTATTGGCAGCCTTGGCAGAGGGTTCCCTGTTGCCCAGAGCTGCTCCAAACAGGCTGGCTGGTTTCACTGTCCCAGCTGGAGCCTCAGCCTGCACCTCCCTGAGAACACTCACCTGGATTAAACAAATGCCAATCACCCAGTAGAGGTGCAGGCAGTGAAATAAATTTAAAATTTTTTTTAGTAAGCACCCTAAAATCAAATGCAAGGAAAAATCCTATCCTCAGTTCCCCCAGAGACCACGTTTATCTCTAGGAATTGTTTCAGTGGAAGCAATGTAGGAATCACCCTCTCAGTGCTAGAGCAGCTGCACTTCGTAATGAAACAGCAGTGGAAAGAGGGTAGTGGGCACCCAGACTTCAATATTTGTTCTAAGCAAGATTCTCTGCCTCCATAACTTTAAATTGAGTCTTGATATTGCTGCTTTTGACTGTCATGAAAAGTTTTGCTGTGTTTGAGATAAAAAAGAGTAAGAGGGATAGTTGCCTCAAGATCTAGATTTTTTTTTTTAAAGCGACTGTTATAATAGTAAGACAGAAGGAGCATTTTCCCCTTAGATAACCAACTAGCAGTCTCCCTCAGTGTTGCTGCCTTACGTGGAGTTAGACTGTGGCGCTGTCTCCTAATAAACAATGTAGTCTCTAAGCAGTAACTCCACTGGTGATGTGCTGGGAATTAGACTAGTCACTTGGGAAGACAATATGGCGTTTGGCATTCTTACTTCTGTAAGCATAATGTGTGCATGCCCTCTGTTTTGATCAGTAGTTAAGAACTGAGAAAACATTCTTACTCTCCCCCCGCTTTTTTTAAGTAAAAATAAATTTATTACTACCTCTATTTTTTACACTTTTTCTCATTACCTTGCTTTGTTTTATTTTTAACTGACATTATACATAGACGTGCAATACACAAATATTAGGTGTATAATTCTGAGTTTTGACAATTGTATACACATGTGTAACCACCACTCCAATTAAGATACAGAACATTATACAAAAAATACAGAACATTTTCATTGTTATCGAATGGGGGTCCTGCTGCTTGCTGCTTACAAAATCAATACTCACAAATGGTAAAAAAGGAAAAGTGCCTTTAATCAGAATGCCAGCAATCTGGGGAGATGGTGGACTCAACATACCCCAAAAACCACCTCCAAAGATTCTGCTCATGAAACTTTTAAAGGGAAGGAGAGAAGTAATCTCAGTTAATCATTGAGATGGGTCGTCGCCATCCCCCACTGTGTGCAGGCTCCTCAGCTTCTTGTGATCTTCCTCTAGATGTGATCGTGTTCACACAGCTTGGTCACACAGTTTATTTGGGAGATTACTGAAGGGGAAGCTAGGGAAGAGATCTGGTCATCTGTTAACCACTTATTCTTCTTTTCTACTTCTTTGATCTGTGGAAAGGACCAACAAGTTAGGCAAGGTTTTGTGTGACTAAAAGATCTGAAAGGTGTGCTTGGGCCGTTGATGAGTAGAGCATGGGGGTGCTGGGCTTAAAAGTTAGTTACTATACAGCTTTACTAAAGTGACAAGAAAAGGGGCTTCCTGCTGAGGGCGGTCTCCTGCAAA